AGCTTTGCTTGGGGTGACTGAGGGGGCTGGGCTGCCAGGCTACAGGTACAGTCAGCGTTAGTGTCGGTGAGAAACTGCAGCAGACTAGCGAGTGTCATCTGCAGTCACAGCAGTCCCTCTATAATCCCAATATGACTAAATCAGAGTAAGGCCTGATTTCAGAGGCCGGGAAAATGAACATATCCTCAAGGAAACAGAATTTTTCCTTAGAGTACATAATGCCGGGAAAATTTGCCGGCCAGTAAAAGCCTGCTACAATATTAGGAAGGAGGATGACATAAGTTACCGACTTGCAAGAGAACAGTTATAGCTTTAACAACATGATGCAATTTGTTTTTCCACGCAGAAGTGGGACCTCTGGCTCAAGTGTAGTAGTATGCACAGTTTTTTAACAGAAAGCACAGATGTGCCATCATGCACAAAATCTGTGTGCTTACAGAAACATCACTGGCCAGCAACAGAGTGAAACCAGAATGACTTCTCTATGAAAACCACATCTAGGCAGCATTTTTTTTTCTCTTGGTGAGCAAAATAATATTTGCATCTCAGCCAAAGCAAGTGGTCCTCAGCCGCAAAGTACTAAAGATTCAAAAAGTAAATTAGAGTGAAAATGTAACAATTATTTTGCAGGTCTTTTCTGTTTGGGCTCACCAGCCCCTGCTGCCTGAGCATGGAGGCGAATAGATCCTGGCAGATGAGCTGAGAAGAGCTCAAGATGCTCGACAAGCTCCTAAAGCAGCCCTAGGCCAGAGGAACTAAGAAGGGTGCGTAAAAGGATTGCAACAAGCTGGACTGTCGCAGGGCCCTGTGCTGAGCTGGCATGTAGCTGCTTTCAAAGCCAGAATGGGGAACCCAAAACCTCCTAGGAAGAGCAACGCACAGATCCAGAGTGCAGGGAGGTGCACGTGCTCAAGGAGAAGTAGTGGTCCTGCACAACCAGGAGCAAGGCTCTGTGCTCCCGGCTCTGTTTCCTACCCTGGGGCTGATTTTGCTGTACCTGGGTAGGGAATGGAGCACTCCTTGGAGCGCTCCTCAGGTCAGACTGTTTAAAGAAACATCTGCTTCATGTTGCATGCAGAGAGGAGAGGAGCACAGCGAGACACACATTTACTCCAGCATCTCAAGGACCTGTGTTTGCAAGGAAGCTCTTTTTGCAGGTCATCCAGACTCATGGGAGATGTGAGCTGGGAGGAGGATGAGTGCAGAGGTGACTGCACGCTGCAGATGGTCAAAGTGTGGGGATACACATGCATTGGATAACGGCCTGCCTGCAGATAA